ATCGGGTTTCGGGTTATTCGGGTTGCGGGTTAATCGGGTTGCGGGGTGGGGCGGGTTACGGGTTGTTGACTTTTAGTCAATTCCGGTTGCGGTCTGGTTGGGAGTCGGGTTGATCGGGCGGGTTAATCGGTTCGGACTATGTTTTGACACCAATAGCTGTATTGCCGAAGCCTTAGCAACGATTCTCAAACCACTTTCCTTTCCATAACAAATCCTTAATATCCACTTTTTTTTATCAAATCTGTAGAGCTTTATTAATCAAATGTTGCGGCTACATTGTCCAACATGATCTGATCAACAAGAATCATAGAAGGTCTATCTATCCAGACCTCTCTCTCTCTCTCGTTTCATCTAGTCTCTGTATGAGCCATGATATGAGCTGTCATGTTCCCTTCTCTTGGAGCGTACCGCCAAACACCATTTCCAACATCTCGAAGAAGCATGAGTATGTTACGACATATAACACCAATCTCAGTGTGTATATCCTCCGCAACCGCCAACTTGTTGGTAAGTGAAAGACAATCTGTCTCGAGGATCACATTTGTCATATGGAGCTGAAAAGCTAGTTGTAACCCAAACTCTGCTCCTAATGCTTCGGCCACTTCTGCTTCCCACACTTCCGGAACTTTCTTTGCTGTTGCAAGAAGGAAGTTACCATCTCCATCACGTATCACCACTCCCAATCCAATGGCCCCGGCTTCAAAGACACCTGCATCAGTATTAATCTTCAGCTGGCCCCTTTCTGGTTTTCGCCAATGTTTTACTTCAGTCTGCTGCTCCCCGACTCCTTCCTCTGTCGCGGCTTGGTGTGCTAAATAATCAGCAATCCACAGCTTCGCACGCGGTACTATTTCATGCTCAGCCAACTTAATTCCGTTGAAGAGATGAGCATTTCGCTCTTTTCATAGGAACCAAAGTAGAATCGCCCAGTCTTCGATTCCATGACCATCTTTAGCCAATCATAGCAACAATCCGAGGGGCGACAGAGGAAGCAATCAGCCAGCTCCGAGCTGCGCCATAGCCGGGACGACCATTCGCACTGTGCAAACCTGTGGACTTGGGTCTCCTTTAAATCGCAAAAAGGGCACTTATCACCCTACCGCTTGCTCTTGGTACTGATATGGTCTCCAGTTGGTAAGATATCTCTAGCAAACCTTCATAAGAAATGCTTAACTTTTGGCGGAATTTGTATTTTCCAGAGACTCTTCCAGACCTGAGAATCGCCCGCTAGAGATACCTGCTCGCAAACCTTAAAATCTTGAAGCCAGAGACGGTACCCATCATGAACCGAGTACTCGCCAAAGGTGGTTCCCATCCATATCTGTCTATCCTCTTCCCTCAAGCTGCGGAGAGGAATGTTGCGAATTACATTAGTTGTTTCCGTCGAGAAGCAAGCTTCGAGCAGAGAATCATCCCACTGGTTTGTGCCAGGGGAAATGAGTTCCCGGACAGCGGCATCAACCGGGATCCCGACAGGCGCCGATTCGATGAAGGCAGAGTTTGTAGGAAAGCCACTTGTCTCCCCATATTTTGATTTGAGCTCCATTACCCACTCGCCAGCGGAGACCACTTGTTAGGAACTCCTGCGCACTTATGAGGCTACGCCAGATGAAACTAGGTTGATATCCACACGACGCGCCAGCACAGAGCAATTCTTATGATATTTTGCTCTAAGAATGCGCGCAATCAGTGAGTCCGGACGATGATGTATCCTCCATAATTATTTTGCAAGCAGCGTTGTATTGAAACCTTGTAAATCTCGCAGTCCCAGCCCGCCCTCCTCCTTAGCACACACAATTTCCTCGTGTCGAATCCAATGAACCCTCGTCTCTGTCCCTTTTTGGCCCCAATAGAAATTAACTATAAGGCTTTGCACTTCGTCCAGGACAGCTTGAGGGACACGAAAGACTCCCATAGCATAAGTAAATTGTGCTTGAGCAACAGACTTGATTAGAACCTCCCGACCAGCAACAGATAAAACACGTTCCTTCCAGGTTTTTAGCTTTTTCCTGGCCCTTTCAATAAGGCCCTGAAAGACTTCTTTCTTCGAACGACCAACCACTGTGGGAAGACCGGAATACTTTTAATGCTTGTCAACAATGTCCATCCCCAGAGCTCCACTAGACATTAATCGCTGATGCGGTTTAACATTCTTACTAAAAGAAAGTGTCGACTTCTGGAAATTAACCTGCTGGCCAGACTCTCTTTCGTAAGCTTCTAATATACCTTTTAAAACACACGCTTCACTTTCCGATTCCCTACCGAAGAAAATGCTATCGTCGGCAAAGAATAGGTGAGACACAGTAGGAGCTCTCTTCGCAGCCTGTATTCCGTGCAGTCTCCCTTCCCGAACCGCTTACTTTGTATATGCTAAGAGACCCTCTGCACACAAAAGAAAGAGATATGGGGAGATTGGGTCGCCCTGCTGTAGTCCTCTTTCCGGTATGAAAGTCTGTGACTGATGGCCATTAACCAGAACCGAGTAGGAGACTATGCGGACACACATCATTATCAAAGCAATCCACCCTTCCGCAAAACCCATCTTCTGCATAACCTTCTCCAAAAACCACCACTCAACCCGATCATATGCTTTCGCCATGTCGATCTTTGCAGCAAAGAAGCCAGGTCCTTTACTGTTATTCTTCTTCTTCATTGTATGAAAACTCTCAAAAGCAGCCATAAGATTGTCTGAGATGAACCTCCCCGGAGCGAAAGCACTTTGTTCCTGTGAAATGACTGTGTCCAGAAGCCCTTTGAGGCGGCCACGAGCTTATACAGGACATTGCAAAGACTGATGGGACGAAATTTTTGCGGTGCCATTGGTTTCTTTGTCTTTGGTATAAGAGCTATCAAGGTATGGTTTAAGTTCTCCGGCATGACTTTCGTATCAAGAATCCGAATCACAGTGTCTACTACATCATCGCCAATAATGCTCCAATACATGCGAAAAAACATAACAGTCATTCCGTCAGCACCTGGAGCTTTGCGCTTTCCCATTTGCTTCAAAGCCTGAACAACTTCCTCTCTCTCCCACGGACAGGTCAATTGTGCATTCTGCTGATCCGTGATCGTTGGATCAATAGCATCAATAACTTGGGTATTGGATGGGATATCCGCTGCATGGAAAAGTGACATAAAATATGTCACCAAACAATGAGAAACTTGGTCAGTTCCCACACACCAACCACCGTTACTGTCTTTGAGCTTCCGAATAGTATTGCGTTTCCTCCGTGCAGATGCTTTCCGATGAAAGAAGTTTGTATTCTTGTCGCCCGAGAGCAGCCAGTCAGCTCGAGACCGCTGCTGCCAGTAAAGTTCCTCGTTATCCTCAATTTCCAACAACTCGGCCTCGAGCTGTTTGATTTGTGCGACAATCGGGTGGTCTTCTTTGCTCAATCCAGAGCTCGAAGTGCCTTGCGGAGTCTCTCCTTCTGTCTTCCAAAATGAGGGAAAGTGGCTCTACTCCAGCTTTCCAGCTCGTGCCTGCAGGAATCAACTTTTGTTAGTGCATCTCCAAGGATGCCACAGCTCCATGCTTCCTTACTCACTTGCAGGCATTGCTCATGCTTTGCCCAATGAGGCTCAAAGCGAAACATCCAACCCCATTTAGGGTCCTCGTCTTCATCGCCATTTGTGTCGCAGAGGACCGGGCGGTGGTCCGACTTATACTTATCAAGATGTCGGACCTTGACCCTTGGGAATAAGTCCCCCCATTCCAAATTCGTCAAGAATCTGTCCAAATGTTCCTCTATAAATCCTCCCGTGGTTCTGTTGTTTACCCACGTATATTTATATCTTCGGAAGCCTAGATCTTGTAGTCCCGTCGTCATCAAGCAGTCATTAAAAGTCGCCATATCAGCAACGTTTCCCACACGACCACCCTCCTTCTCTTCACTAGTTAGAATCTGATTAAAATCTCCAATGCAAAGCCACGGTCCATCCCATTGGTTTGCGAGATTTGTCATTAGATCCCACGTTTGATACTTTTCTCCATCCTCTGGCCAACCATAAATTCTCGTGAAGCGCCAGGTGTTATTGTTTGGATCGAGTACTCTGGCATCAATATGATGGAGGTACTTTGTTAGGACTACGATCCCGCTTTCTTCTCGCCACCATAAACTGAGCCCACCAGCCCTACCACCTCTCGACTTGTCAGTTGACTGGCTCTTACCATGACCGAAACCCATCTCAATTTGTGTAACCTTGTTCTCTTCCTCGGTTTGCTTGGTTTCCATTAAGAAAACCAAATCTAGGGAGAATTGTCGCAAAAGCGACTTCAAAGACTTCACTGCTCGCTTACTCCCCAGTCCGCGGCAGTTGTAAATGAGTATTCTCATTTATGACCAGAAGGGGATGGGCTCCCCGCGCCATTTCGTTACAGGCCATTATCTCGCCCGCCATCTCCTGCTCAAAACTTTTCTCGGTTGCTCTCTTTCGCCATCACCCCCCCTGTTTGTTACTTGTTTGTTTAGTAGGTGGAGCTCCATCATTTGGTTGTCTGTTACTTCCACCATCTCCAGTCTCATTCCCATGCAAGAAGGTAGTATTTTTTGTTGGTCCCTCCCGATTCTTGTCATTCTTCCTTTGAGTTTCCTTAGTATTTGCCGCAGCCTTGGGCAAGTTCAGTGGGGCTCCTGTTTGTACGTTATCCTTCACAAAGGCCCTCGTTTTTGTTGCTTTTTTCCCACCCTGGTGTTGTACCACTTCATCTATTTGTTGGAATGCCGCTGCCTCCGGAACTGGGTGAGTATCGTCATTATGAATAGTTCCTTGTGTGTCCTCCACCAGTACTTCATAGCGGTTTTGTGTAGTGCCCGTTCTGCCCATGTTCTGCTTATATTCCGTCTTGGTACCATAGCTTGCGTCTCTTTTGTTTGGTTGGCGTTCTCTCCGCTTCACAATCATCCAATCGCCATAGGCTGGACCCTTTGCTTGATTAACATCTTGGGTTTCCGGAACCATTTCCACATATTCGGTATAGGGTCTTCTATTATCTTACACTAGCATCGAGCTGTGGGTTTTCCGTATCTCCCGCAATCAGTGCAAATATTGTCAAGTCCCTCATATTGAATAAGATATTCAATGCCCTCAATCTTGTACTTGGATAGGAGCGGTTTCATGAGGTCTACCTCCACCCAAACACGTGCGAACTTTCCCCTAGCTCCCTCCTCAATTGCTCTATCAACCCGTAATGGTTTCCCAATCAAGGTCCCTATCTTCATCGCAGCTTCTTTGTTAATGAACTCGATTGGTAACTCTAGTAATTGCACCCATATTAACGTTGACTTCACCTCTGACTTCCACGGGTTGAAACCCTTATACCATCTCATTATCGTCAGGTAGGTCTCGCCCAGCATCCACGGCCCACCATTTGTAGCAATCTTGTAGTCTTCTTGTCATTTGAAACACACTAGAAAGCATCCGTTCTTGAGGTCTGAAATTTGTAGATCTTCATGCCTAGCCCACAAAAAGTTCAGACGACGAGAAAGCGCTAGGTATGGTACTTTTCGGCCTAGGCCCTTCACAACCAGAGCCTATCGCCACTCTCTCCTCCATATGATCTTTTCCGCTGCCGTAAAGGGAACTGTTGGGCACATGGGATCATCGTCCATCTCATCAGTGTATTCATCTTCTTCTTTTTCTACCTGTGCCACGTCTTCCGTATCAGAGTCAGCAATATACCAGGTATCCTGTCGGACAATCTCACTGAAAAGCTTGGTGGTTCTAACATGCCATGCCGGCGGACCATTCTTTGTCCCGGCGTCCCTCTCCTTCTGTGAGCTTCCCTCCGCCTCCATCTCTTCAGCTGTAATGTCCTCTACAAAGCCTTCAGGTTGGTCGAGGTTTAGGGCACGAGCTCTCTTTTTGGGTTGGACATCCTCCTTCTCGCTTTTATTATTCGGGGAGGAGGAGGCATCTGAGGGCCGCCGGATGCCACTGGTATTATCAGGTGGCTTTTCTGCCATGTCCGGCGTCCCAGTCGGCAATACCGCCGCCATGAGGCTCAAAACCCTAGGTTCACACGCGCTTGTTCGCTTTTCCTGGTCTCCGAGAAAACCCTTATCCTTAATATCCTCTCAGTCCGTACGATTCTCTTTTTCTTTCTATCTATTGTTATGGAAATAGCCTATTGTTTTAAATTTTAATAATAAATCAGTTAATTGTTTAGAACTTGTTTGTTAGCCAGTACATAGAGAACCATTATCCTAATTCCTAACTAAAAAACAACAATACTCCTAATAAATAATAGGGATTTCTTATGGTAACTTGAAGGTGACTTGAATATTTTTACTTGCTATAGCAGTGTAACACCCCGGTATTTTAATTTTAGGTTCGACCTTAATTTGGAATCGGTTGGATTGACGATTACGTACTAAGAATTGCAACCGCCGATTAGAAATAATGATAATTACAATTATTATTATATAATTATTAAAAAAAAAAAAGGCAGTGGGGCGGACCAAGTAGGCAGGCGCCTACACTCCCCACCCAAGCAATAAATCCCCCACCCCACCCCTTTTATTGCCGGCAACACAGCAGGCAAAATAAAAAACCCTTCTCGTATTTTTGCAAGCACCCGCGCCGCGGAGAAGAGAGAAGAAGAAGAAGAAGAAGAAAAAAAGAAGAAGAAGAAAGGGAGCTCCCTATGCTCCGATCCCGACCCCATCCCTTTCGTTCTAGGTAAGGATTACGAACCTCTTCGCGATTTCTAAACTCGATTTATCGGTAGACTAATCCGAAGCCCATATTTTTATTAGCGGTGACGTTGAGGGTTCGTTCAACGAGGAGATCAACGTCCCGGGTCATCCAACCAAGGCCTAGGCACGTTCTAGAGGTAAGGGAACTCGATCCCTTTGAGTTAGGTCGATTGATTTGGTGATTCTTTCGTGAGGATAGAATTCTGGGGTTTTAGCAACATACATTCAGGCTTTTAGTGACAGAATTTGGGTAGTCACTAAAGCTGCTGGGAATTTCCAGAAACGTATTTTTAGATGTTTTAAAGTGTTTCGGGCCTCTCTGAAGGTTTTTTTCTGACTTTAACAATTTTATAAATTGAGAAACGACTAGGAGATGGTTGTAAATTAATTTGGGAATTTTTGAAAATGTATTTCTATTTTTAGAAATTGTTCGAATTTTTTTTTAATTAAATAAAAATCTTTCTGAAGGTTTTTTAAGGTTTTGATAATTTTTCAGGGTATAGGGGCTCATGATTGACATGGAAAAATTATTGTCCAAAACTATAAGAAGGTTCAAGTTAGGTGAAAAATTCGTCCAAGATAAAAATAATTAGGAAAATAGTAGGTTTTGAAGGGAGTATTTCTAGAAAAATTTTAATGGGGGTTAAAAGACCTTTGGAATGAGGTTCAAGGGCTGGAGTTTGAGGAGAGGATGTTCTAGTGATTCAAAAGAGATTTTAAATCAAGAAAGGTCGTCTAAAAAAATGGATTCTTATTAATAGGTTTCCCCAAGATAATCCGGCTAAGGAGGGGTTTCTTCGAGGAAGGAATTGAGGAGTCATCTTTTTGAGGTGAGTGTAAAGGGGGTAAAATCTCTGTCGTAGGTCTTTTAGTTTATGCTTTTCGTTCAAGTTATTAATTAGTTAATTTTTGAGTAATGCGCGATATGTGTGTGAGGCATCCCACCGCATGTAAGGGTGGAGGCACGCGTTGTGCTATGTATGAATGTATGGATGTATGATTGTAATAGTTGGTCAATGGTAAGAGGAACCCCCGGGCGGTTGGGCCACTACTGGACGTGGTAGATGGTCAGGTCACTGCTGGACGGCGAGACGTAACGCAGCAGTTGATCGAGTATGTTGGGGTCACTACTGGACGGCGAGACGTAACGCAGTAGTTGATCGGGCATGGACTGGACGGCGAGACGTAACGCAGTGCCATTGCCGAATTTGGGTATGCAACCGGACGGCGAGACGTAACGCGGTTGGCATACTAGGGTAGGGACACCGGACGGCGAGACGTAACGCGGTGGTCCCTTGTGTTGGTATCTAGGGATTAAGAATATAAGTAAGGGAATTCTAAAGATAAGATAGGAGTAGAGATCTCTTATAGACTGTTTGATAGTAAAGTTTAAAGGGTGAAAGTGAGAAACGTCTAGTAGATGGTTTTAATTTAATTTTGGAATTTTTGAAGATGTATTTCTATTTTTGGAAATTGTTTTAATATTTATTTTAATTAAATAAAAAAATTCCGAATGGTTTTTAAGGGTTTGATAATTTTCTAGGGTATAGGGGCTCATTATTGACATGGGAAAATTATTTTTCAAAACTTTAAGAAAGTTCAAGTTAGGTGAAAAATTCGTCCAAGATAAAAATAATTAGAAAAATAGTCGGTTTTGAAGGGAGTATTTCTAGAAAAAATTTAATGGGGGTTAAAGGACCTTTGGAATGAGGTTCAAGGGCTGGAGTTTGAGGAGAGGATGTTCTAGTGATTCAAAAGGGATTTTAAATCAAGAAAGGTCATCTAAGAAAATTGATTCTTATTAATAGGTTTCCCCAAGATAATCCGGCTAAGGAGAGGTTTCTTCGAGGAAGGAATTGAGGAGTCATCTTTTCGAGGTGAGTGTAAAGGGGATAAAATCTCTGTCGTAGGTCTTTTAGTTTATGTTTTTCGTTCAAGTTATTAATTAGTTAATTTTTGAGTAATGCGCGATATGTGTGTGAGGCATCCCATCGCCTGTAAGGGTGGAGGCACGCGTTGTGCTATGTATGAATGTATGGATGTATGATTGTAATAGTTGGTCAATGGTTAGAGGAACCCCCCGGGCGGTTGGGCCACTACTGGACGCGGTAGATGGTCAGGTCACTGCTTGACGGCGAGACGTAACGCAGTAGTTGATCGGCATGGACTGGACGGCGAGACGTAACGCAGTGCCACTGCTGAGTTTGGGTATGCAACCGGACGGCGAGACGTAACGCGGTTGGCATACTAGGGTAGGGACACCGGACGGCGAGACGTAACGCGGTGGTCCCTTGTGTTGGTGTCTAGGGATTAAGAATATAAGTAAGGGAATTCTAAAGATAAGATAGGAGTAGAGATCTCTTATAGACTGTTTGATAGTAAAGTTTAAAGGGTGAAAGTGAGAACGACTTTCGTCTAAGGAAGGCATTTCCCCTAATAATGTGTTTAGTAAGGAGTTTGCCTAGGGCAAAGACCTTAGGAAGTAACGACGAGACTGACCCCTTCTCACTCACCAGGTCGAGGAAGGGTTAGACGAAGTGGATCACGAGAAGAAGCAGGGCGAGGCGAGCAGCAGTACCAGCATCGACGGGATATCGGAAAGCTCGTGAGGAGTTAAGTTAGATTAGTTAATTATTCTGTTTCATGGTTATTAGTATAAACTGGAGATTCTATGTTAAGTCGCTTTAAGTGTTTGAGATTGAGAATTTTGCCCAAGTATTCAGTTTTTTTGTTTGAACTTCTTAAATGATGTCAGTTTGTTTATTTTAACATGTGGTTTGGGTTGCTCCGGAGTAACCGGTTTTTGGTTTGAGTTAAGGTTTGGTTTTTAAAAAGAGACTGGACTTTTCAAGCAGGTTTCACAAGTCGCATTACGTAAAACACAAAAGGTGTTGCGTAATGGTTACGTAATATATCTTATCTTACGTAATAGTTGTAAAAGGTCATTACGGAAGCCTTACGTAATGGACGGTCTTCTTACGTAATGAATATTCACTATGCATTACGTAAAGTGTTAAGTCATTACGTAATCCTTACGTAACGCTTCAAATATAACTGTTTTTCGTGAACTTTACGTAATGAGTGTGTATTTTACGTAACACTTGTAATGTGTCATTACGGAAGCCTTACGTAATAAACAATCATTTTACGTAATGAATACATTTGCGTTACGTAAAGTGATAATTAACTTTATGTTTTTGTTTTCTCATTCGTCCTAAATATCGCCATTAGCAAGATTGCCCAACTGATTTCCTTTCCTTTTGCTAGAGTCAAATCCTTTAATTTAATCGTTGCGATGTTTTATATGGACTGATCCCCAGAGAGGCAGATACTCTTCCTCAACGATTTGCTTTGATTGATTCCTCGCGGGTGGTTCTTCTCCCAAGCAGTCGACGGAGTTTGCCAAACTTGCTTCCTCGTAAGATGATCTCTTCTAATTTTCTTCTTCTCTTTCTCAGTTTTATGTTTCCCGGCGTGTTCCCTTCGACTTTCTTACCCTCTCATGCTTCTCTATATCGGCTGCAAAATTATGTCGATTCTATGATATGGTATTCGATGATATGGTCCAACGAAATTATATACCGAAAATTTTATTGGTCATTATAACCCTAAACCAAAATAACAAGGACCAGAAATTATATTTGTTATATGTTTTGCCT